TCCTGGCTAACCCCGTCTCAACTAAAAAATGCAAAAGTTGGCCAGGTATAGTGGCAAGCACCTGTAATCCCAGCTACTTGGAGGCTGAGGCAGGAGAATGGCGTGAACCTGGGAGGCGGAGCTTGCAGTGAGCTGAGATCCGGCCACTGCACTCCAGCCTGGGCGACAGAGTGAGACTCTGTCTCAAAAAAAAAAAAAAAAAAAAAAAATCATCACTTTTTCATTCCTGTTCCTGAATCCTTGGTGGATTATTTATGTCTGCCTTCTCCTAAAAATAATTCTATCCAGGATGCCCCAAGGACGTCATGCTGGAAGCTTCCTGTAGGTAACCAAGGGCGCCCCAGTGGTGCTAAGTGCTGAGGCTGCAGGTCTGAAGACAAAAGCCTCCAGAGCTTGACCAGAACGGTTCGTTTGACTGCAGCCACAGTAAGGAGCCAGTGCTGCCACCTGCTGGCCAAGAGCAGGTTCGCCCACATCCATCCTGTTAGGAGGCTGAATCACAGCCAGATGTAGGAGGGAAGGGATTTTATCACAACTCGCTTAGTTTAGAGATGAGGAAACTGATGAAAAAGGGACTTGCCCAAGGTCACGTAAGTGGTGGCATAGTCAGAACCGGAACCAAGTACAGGGTTTCTGCAAAACCTGATCCACGCTCCTCTGGATTCAGGCACATGGAACTTAACCTTCAAATTGCAGTATACTCTTTTCTCGCTTTTTCCTTTCTCTCTTCGCTCCTCCCCCTTTTCCTCCCCACCTCCTTTCTCCTCCCCTCTTCTCTCCTCTCCCCTCTCTCCTCCCTTCCCCCCTCCCCCCCATTCCTCCCCTCTTCTCCTCTTCCCATTTCTCCTCCCCTCTGCTCTCCTCTTTTTTTTTTGGAAACCAGTTCTCATCACTGCACTTCTAGGGCAGGAGAAGCACTGGGGAATGAGGCAGCCTAGCTCTGTGGAGGGAAAGGGAGCTGGTCAACATATGCTTTAGGTATTTTTGGTTTTGTTTTTAATAAACTTTATTTATAGAGCAGTTTTAGACTCATAGCAAAATTAAGTGAAAGGTAGAGTATTCCCGTATAGCTCCTGATCCTACATACTCACAACCTCACCTGCTAACAGCATTCCCCACTACAGCAGTACATGTGATACAATTAACGAACCCACATTGACACGGCGTTTTGACCCAAAGTCAATAGTTTACGTTGAGTCGCTCTGGTGTTATACATTCTATGGGTTTGAACAGATGTATAATGATGTGAATCCCCCTTCAGAGTAATGTACAGAATAGTTTCACTGCCCTAGGACTCCCCTAGATTCCTCCTGTTCATCTCTCCTCCTCCCACCCCACTGGCAACCACTGTCTCCATAGTTTTGCCTTTTCCAGAAGGTCACATAGTTGGAACCAGAGAGCATGTAGCCTTTTCAGACTGGCTCCTTTCACTCAGTAACGTGCATTTAAGGTTCTTCCCTGTTTTTTCATGGCTTGATAGCTAATTTCTTTTTAGTACTGAATAACATTCCAGATTTACCACAGTTTATCCATTCACTTACTGAGGTGGCTTCCAAGTTTGGGTAATTATAAAGTTGCTATAAACATCCATGTGCAGGGTTTTGTATGGATATAAGTTTTCAGTTCATTTGGGTACATACCAAAAAGCACAATTGCTGAATTGTATGGTAAGAATATGTCTGGTTTTGTAAGAAACTGTAAAACTGTCTTGCAAAATGGCTGCACCACTTCACATTCCTCCCAGCAACGAGTGAGAGTTCCCGTCACTCCACGCCCTTGCCAGCATTTGGTGTTTTAGATTTTGGCCATTCTCATAGGTGTGTGGTATGCTTTAGTTTTTCAGTAATTTGGGAGATGAACTATTAGTTTCAGAAATCCTCACACTCGTTAGCACTATCTACCCATAGAATCAAAATCACAGGGAAGCCTGGAGGTGTTGAGTTACAGAAAACGTGAATACTTGCCTGCAGTTCACAAAGGGCACAGAGACTCACACTTTTGTCAGCGGTGGGGCAGCTGAGTATGAACCAGACTAAGGTGGTTGGGACAGAACCCCAGGGTACTGTCCCCTGAGTCTATGTTCAAGCAATGCAGAGTGGCAACCAGAGGATGCTAAGCTCGAAGGAGATGGCTTGACTCTATCATGATCACTGCCTGCAGTTACCACCAGGAAGGCCTAACACAGGGTGCAGGATATTTAAAGAGAAGGAACAAGTATAACCCAATAAGGAAGGCATAGGCTAAAGATAAAGGCCACCATCCAGAGAGAGTGCTCAAAGGCCTACCTTCCTTTGCCCATCAGCATTTAGACACATGTTTTAGTTTACTTCTCTCTCACTGGCTAATAGCAGACCACAGTGTGCTTCTTTGTTTCCTGTCTGCACCATCTGTTCTCTTTAAAGTAAAAAAAAAACAAACTGTCTGAGTATAGGATGGGGAGAACTTGTTAGAATACATGTGACAGTATTAAAGGCTAATGCTTATTGACCTCCTTCTGTATACTAGCCAGCGGTTTTTGTAAAATTTTTAAAAAATTGTTTTTTGGGACGGTCTCACTCTGTCTGTTGCCCAGGCTGGAGAGCACTGGCATGATCTCTGCTCACTGCAACCTCTGTCTCCCAGGTTCAAGCAATCCTCCCACCTCCACCTCCCGAGTAGCTGGGACTATAGGCGTGTGCCACCACACCCAGTTAACCTTTTGCTTTTTTTTTTTTGGTAGAGATAGAGTTTCATCGTGTTGCCCAGGCCGGCCTTGAACTCCTGAGCTCAAGCAATCCACCTGCCTCAGCCTCCCAAAGTGCTGAAATTATAGTTGTGAGCCACTGTGCCCAGCTCTAGGCAGTGTTTTTCATGTAATTCTCAAAAAAAAGAACCCCACAAAACTCCATGCAGTACATACTACTATTATTTCCACTTATAGATGAGGAAACTAAGGCACAGAAAGTAAGTAGCCAACTTGGGATTACCTTCCAGATAATTGGAGTATGTCCACAGTGACTCCAAAAATGGCTAAAGTGAAGGCACATAAGTGGTTTTCATAGGACTCTTCTAGGTAGAACAAAAGAAGTAAGAGTCCTCTCCTATTCCAGATTGACCATTCTATAGCTCATATATAAGAGAAATAGAGATAAATTTGAATCTATTCAGAGACAAGTGACCAGGATACTGAGGGAACCAAAAACAAGGAGATGTTAGGAGAAGCGGAAGGAACCAGAGATATTTAGCTTGCAGAAGGCTCAAGAGAACCATGAGAGGTATGTTCAAGGGTTTGAAGGGGTCAGTGAGGAACAAATTTAAATTGATTCTGTATAATTCCAAAGAGTAGAACTAGGTCCATTTTGTGGAAGCTAAAGGGAACTTGAATCTTTAGATGGTCAGAGCAATTTTTAAGACAGAAAACACTGTTTCCTGATGGCTTGCAGAAGCACAGACAGAGAGCCAGAAAAAGTGGACTTGAATATGCCTGGACAAGGGCACACAATTTCTGGATTTAGGCTCCAGTTCAGCCACTTACTGGCCAGATGATCTCAGCCAAGCCAAAGCATCTGCCATTCTCACTGTTCAGGGTTTGCAGGGAGAAGATAAGAGCAGGTCCCAGAACTCTCTGTATCTATAAAGAGTTGTACAAATGTAAGGATTTGTTATGATTAAGGCATTAGCTTATTATGACAATGTAATCGAAATGAATCTGAACTCAGAGCTGTTCAGCTGAGTCTTCAAGATGTCCAGGTTTTATATGTGTCTCTCCTTCCACCATGCAGGATTTGAACACAGCTCTATTATCTTACAGTAGAATGGGCTCAGTGAGGTTTACATGTGCATCTGTTTTTTCTATTGGACATGTGAGCTTGCTGAGGTCAAGAATTGTGTCCTTCATGTTTTTATATCTTAATCTCCAGCACTTAATCAGGGATTAGTATACAGTAATGAGTTGGAAAATGGTAGTGGGGTGAATAAGTGAGAGAATGAATAAAGTACACAATAAGGCAAGTAGAAAGCAAGGGATTTCTATATTGCAGCATGGGGCGAGCATGCAACTTCCAGGATGACAGCTTTGAAGGGGACAATACTTAATCGAAGTTCAGTATTTGATGTGTTTATTTTAAAATCAGTCATCTAATATTAGTTTGTTTTTATTTGTATGGCACATTATAATTTTCAACACTTTTTAACCTTCACTATCTTATTCAATATTCACAAATGTGCACTAACATAGGGAGGTTATGTGGATCAGGCAGGATATATGTATCAGGCAGGAATAAACTGTGCTTATGGCAGAGCTCATGTTAGAACATAATGTTCCGATTTCTTAGGTTGGAGCTCTTCGCTCCATGCCAGGCCACCACGCCTCTGTGGCTAACCTCGTGGTATCATCTGGTTCTGTCCAGCCTCCTTTGTGGAACTCAGTTATGTGATTAGGAGAAAAAATGCCCAGCCTTGCTTTTGCATCTGGGAAATGATGAAGAATGAATTTGTTATTTCTTAAATATAAAAAAATGCAAACTCTAAATATGTAAAATATACCCATGTAAAAATTATTAATATTTTAATGTTTAAAACTTGATCTTTATTTTATATTAAACATTTATCTGATATTAAAATTTTATTTGATATTTGATGCATGTGGTTAGAGGGGCTAAGACATCACCCTGGCTTTGGAAGCTGCAGTCAGGCCCTACAAACATGTATCTTTTCTAATTCTGTCTTTGTAGACCATGACAAATGTTTGCTATTTGTAATATTGTGCTACCTCCAAAAGACTTAACAATTGGACATTTTAAAATAAGTATTTTCAGTTAATATACTAACTAGAAACATGTCTTTTGTAACACATGATGTCATACCATCTTGAGATTAATAATTTCTAATATGATACAGTTTTGCATGGGCTGAAATAAACAGATCAAGCTAAAACAACATGAATGGTAAAAGCAATTTTTTGTAACATTAGGAGGAAGTAAACCATGACACTCCTGACCCTTTTAGACCCTCCAGAAAGAGAAGAAATCAACATGTCTGGTTCTGTGTCTGTAACAGAAGAGATTATGTAGGAACCTGGAGCGGGCCAGCCACGGAGAAAGGTCAATAATAGGTAATCACAAGGACACAGTGCTTACTAAAATCTTTTTTCTTTGACATGTTAGAAATGATTGTCCACGGTATTAGCTCTCATCTGGAATTTGTTTTTTTGAAGATCCTGAATGTTTACCCTGCCTGCTACAATTTTTTCCCATGATGGGAGACTCAAGATCGTCTGAAACCATTGTTCTTCTTTTAACTCAGAGGTTGAGTACCACCATTCCTGAGAGGAAAGAAACAGAACAAAGAAATCATTAGTGTTTCTTGACTTTCGTAATCAAGGTTAGTGCAATATCAAACAAGGCAAAATATCTTTGAGCTTTCAAAACCATGTGAACCCATAGAAAAAAATGAATCTTGCTGTCCAAACTAGGATACTGACACAGCCCTCTTTAAATAAACACGTATACTCATACATTCATTCACTTATTCAACAAAACTGAGTATAAGGCTCTGTGCTAGGCACTAAGTGTGGTTTTTGCTGTCAAAGAGTTCACATTCTGAAGGAGAGGAAAGACATGCAGACAGATGTAACACAAAGTGGAAAGTGGCCACAAAGAAGGGCAGAGAAAGGCATGCTAAGGGGGATTTGGATGAGGGAGAGAGACCATGAGAACTTAAAGGTGAAGAGGAAGCTCACAAACCTAAAATATGGACATGTCACTCTTTCTGGTAAGAATCCAGAAAGGCCTATTGTGACTGCTATGGTCTGAATGTTGGCATCCCCTGAAATTCATATGTTGAAAATTAACCCCCAAGGTAATGATATTAAGAGTTGGGCCTTGGGGAGGTAATTAGGTCATGAGGGCTCTGCCCTCATGGATAGAATTCGCACCCTTATAAAAGGGCTGGAGGGAGCAAATTTTCCTTTTCCATCCTTCTGACATGTGAGGACACAGCAAAAGGCACCATCTGTGAGGGATGGAACCTCACCAGACAGAGAATCTCCAGAGCCTTGATCTTGGACTTCCAGCTTCCAAAACTGAGCAGTACATTTCCATTGTTTATCAACGACCCAGTCTAAGATATTTTGTTATGGCAGCCTGGATAGACTAAGACCTTCCAGGCCTGGGGAAACCTAACCAGGCAGTGGGCTTCCGGGCTTCTTCATGTGGGTGAGCATCTCCCACCCCAGTTTGCTAGCTGATGATACATACTTTGCTCATGTTCAGCCAGCATTTCTCCAGCATATTCCCCTGTGTTTCAGAGAGTCGCAAGGCTGTGTTCAGGAAGACGCCACATTTCTGCCCATCTCCCATCAATATACAGATGTAAGCCATCAGGTGGTAGAGCCTTGGGCAAAAGACAGGGCCAATGGTATTTTGAGCCATCAGATTCTCCAAGTTCTAAAGGAAAAAACCCACAACAGTATATTAGAATCAAACAGGGGTCCTTGACTATAAGTTATTTCCTTCACAGATGATTTGGGAACATTTCAAGGATTTAAGCGATCAAGTGAGAAAATACATTATAGAGACATACACAGTAGGTATTGGAGATAAGATAATAAATGTCTGGTGGATTAGCCCCCATGGTCCACTGAGATCAGGAATTGACCTGAAAGATCCCATCATTACTTCTCTACAATTACTTTTTTTAAAATTATTTTGATTATTATAATTATTCAGGCAGTACAAGTTAATTGTTGAAAAATTAGAAAAAAAAATGGCCATTTTTGCATGTAGGGAGCTTGTAAATAACCACTTGGTCCTAGAAACAAGTAAAAAGCTGAACAGGCCAGGCACAGTGGCTCACGCCTGCAATGCTAGCACTTCGGGAGGCCGAGGTGGGCAGATCAGAAGGTCAAGAGATAGAGACCATCCTGGTCAACATGGTGAAACCCTGTCTCTACTAAAAATATAAAAATTAGGTGGGCGTAGTGGTGTGTGACTGTAGTCCCAGCTACTCGGGAGGCTGAGGCAGGAGAATCGCTTGAACCAGGGAGGCAGAAGTTGCAGTGAGCCAAGATTGCACCACTGAACTCCAGCCTTGTGACAGAGCGAGACTCCATCTCAAAAATAAATAAATAAATAAAGCTGAACAGACTAGAAGATCAACAACTATTCTTGGATCCATAAGAGAAGTGAGAACATGGGGCAAACTGCTGCCCCTAAGACTGGAGAGACAAACAGATGGAGACTCACCAGTGGAAACCACTGTGGGAACCAGTGCCAGGCTAGGAAAACCTGAACTGTAATTGATGAATTGCTAGAAACTCAGAGTGGACTGGTCTGGGAGTTAAAAACTCTTGGGAGAAGAGGATTCTGGAAAGACGGCAGAGTAGGAAGTACCAACTATCTGTAGCCCCACCTAGACTATCATTACACTGGCAGAATCTGTCAGAATGTAACTATTTTAGAACTCCGGAGTCTACTGAAGGCTTGTAAATGCCAGAGGAAGGCTTGGATGGTAAACTGAGATTAATTTCAGTTTCAGCTCTTAGAACAGCTCCCTGTCCCCCAGCCTCAAAACCTGTGGCAGACAGTTGTGCACATGCTCCTGAAGAACCTGCACACAACTTGTGGTAACAAGGGTGGGCACAAAGGACCCTGTCTGAGATATCAGGAATCTGTTCTCTGATCACCGATGGCTGCTTCTGATGGAAGAGGTAGGCAGTCATTGTTGCACCTCTCCCCATCATTGCAAGCCCCTCCCACTCCAGTTGAAGTGACTTCCAGGGGATTTAAAGGGCTATTGCCCTTTCCTCCCCTAACTTTTTCTCTCCACCCACCCTCCACCACCTTGACAGCTAGACCTTAAATACTAGGACGTTCAAAAGCAGCTGCCTATAAAAGGAAAATTAGAAAGTGACTGTGCATGCCTAGGGAAAGGTACAGGCTCAGAAAAGATCTGGGAAGGCCTTAAGTTTGCACCTCAGGCTGATCCTTGGCCTACAACAATAAAAAACAAAAACAACAACAAAACCCAGAAAACTCTGGGGAAGAGGGAGAATTTGATATCCAGAGCTATCATATTATTAGATTCAAAGGTCTAGTTTTCAACAGCAATAACAAAAAGGCATACCAAGAAACAGGAAAGCATGGCTCATCCCAAGGGGGAAAACAATATCAAGAGAAACTGTCCCTGAAAAAGACCTAATGGCAGATATCCCACACAAAGATTTTTAAACAACTCTAAAGATAATCAAAGAACTAAAGGAAAATGTGGATAAAGTCAAGTAATTGATGTATGAAAATAATGGAAATATCAGTAAAGTGACAGAAAACCTAAAAGTATACCAAAAAGAAATTCTGGAGGTAAAAAGTGCAATAAGTAAAATAAAAAAAAAAAAACAAAGGCAGGGTTAAACAGGCAGCAAACTTGAAGACATGACAATGGAAATTATTGAGTCTGAGGAACAGAAAGAAAAAAGATTGAAGAAAAGTTAGCAGAGCCTAAGGGACCTGTGGAACACCAAGAAGTGAACCAATAAACGCATTGTGGACATCCCTGAAGAAGAAGAGAGAGAGAGAAAGGACTAGAAAGAATATTTGAAGAAATAATGGTTGAAAACTTTCCAAATTTGGTAAAAGACATGAATATAAACATCCAAGAAGTTCAACAAACTCCAGGTAAGATGAACTTAAAGAGATACACACTGAGACAAATATAATCACTTTTGAAAAGTGAAAGACACGAAACTTGAAAGCAGTGAGAGAAGCAACTAATCACATACATCTTCAATAAGATCACCAGCAGATTTCTCATCAGAAAATTTAGAGGTCAGAAGGCAGTGAGCCAATACATTCAAAATATTAAAAGAGAAAACCCCGTCAACCAAGAGTCTTCTATTCAGCAAAAGTGTCCTTCAAAGATAAGGGAGAAATTAAGACATTCCCAGACAATCAAAAACAAAGTTAATTACCATCAGGACTTTCTTCCAAAAAATGCCCATGCCTTAAAAAAAAGAAAGAAAAAGAAAAGAAAAGAAAGAAAAAAGAGAAATGCCTAAAGGAGCCCTGTAGGGTAAAATGAAAGGACAGTCAAAGCTCTAAGAAGAAATAAAGATCTCAACAAAGGTAAATACATGGACAATTAAGTGTTATTGTAATAATAGTTTGTAACTTGTTTTGTTTTCTACATTTTTAAGAGATTAATACGTTTTTAAAATTTAGTAGCCCAAAAGCTAGTATTATTGTAACTTTGGGTTGTAACTCCACATTTTGTTTTCTACATAATTGAAGAGACTAATCATTTAAAATAATTATTCATTTATGTTTTGGGAATGTAATTCTGTGACATCAACAACTGAAAGGGGTGGGAAACTACTAAAGGAGTGGAGTTCTTTGGGCATTACTGAAGTTAACTTTAGGATGCTAAATGTAATCCTCATGGTAACCATAAGGAAAATAGCTATAGAATATATACAAAAGAAAATAGGGAAAGAACTTAAATGTTTCACTATGAAAAATTAAATGCAAAATAAGACTAGTTCAGGAAATGAGGAATGAAAAAGCTGTAAGGCATATTGAAAACAAATAGCAAAATGATACACACAAGTCCCTCTTTATCAGTAATTACTTTAAATGTAATTGAATTAAACTCTCAACAACAACAAAGAAAAGCAAGTTGGCAGAATGGATTTTTTAAAAACATGACCTAATTATATACTAAAAGAGACTCACTTTAGATCCCAAGACTTGTACAAATAGATGGAGAGTGAAAAGATAGAAAAAGATACTTTATACAAATAGTAACCCAAAGAGGATAAGGGTGGCTATACTACTGTCAGACAAAATAAACTTTAAATCAGAAAGAAACTTATAAGAGACAAAAAATATTATATATTAATAAAAATTTAAATACAGCAAAATATATATAACAATTACAAAAATGTATGTTTTATAATTATATTTTTAAAATAAAAATATAACAATTATAAACATTTATGCATCTAATAATAAGATCATCAGTATATATGAAGCAAAAACTGACAAAATTGAAGGTAGAAATAAACAGTTCTGTAATAGTAGTTGGAGACTTCACTAATAGTAATGGATAGAACAATTATACAAAAGATAAGACATAGAGGACTTAGACAACACAATAAACCAACTAAATCTAACAAACATACACTTAATGGGTATAGAGTTTCTATTTTACAAGATGAAGAGAGTTATGGAGATGGAGGGCAGACATGGATACACAACATTATAAATGTATTTAATACCACTGAACTGCATACTTAAACATGATTAAGATGTTAAGTTTTATGCTATGTGTATTTGGATCACAATAAAAAAAATTAGGCCAGGCATGATAGCTCACACCAATAATCCCAGCACTTAGGGAGGCCAAGGTCATCAGATCACCTGAGGTCAGGAGTTCAGGACCAGCCTGGCCAACATGGTAAAACCCCATCTCTACAAAAATACAAAAATTAGCCAGGCATGATGGCGGGTGCCTGTAATCCCAGCTATTCAGGAGGCTGAGACACGAGAATCACTTGAACCTGGGAGATGGAGTTTGCAGTGAGCCAAGATCTCGCCATTGCACTCCAGCCGGGGCAACAGAGTGAGACTCTGTGTCCAAAAACAACA